TAAATTATATTAGTTAATTAATTAAATTAAAATCAATATTTATATTTTTATTAAAAATTAATTATAAAAAATATGTCAATTATATATTTTACTTGGCTATAAAAACACAACATTAAAAAACTCATATATTTATAATATTAAATGATGTACCAGATATCTCATTGCATTACTAATTTTTTTTCTTGAGGCCAGGGGTTGACCCTTCTCAGTCCACCCCCCAGACAGGGTAACTGTAACAGCAAGAATATTCCTTCATCCACGCCTAAAAATTTCATTATCAATTTTTTTATATCTAGTTTTCTCCGATGCAGTCCTCGTTTTATATCACAATTTACCATATAGTATTTCAGCTTAAATTAAACGTAATAGAAATAAAGGCAACTGTCATCCCTCTACTTTATAAAAAAGTTCAATTTTACCCTCGTACTATGGAATCACCGCAGGTCATCCCTCTACTTCATTTTGGGCTCCCATGTTCTCCCTCTACTATTCAAAAAGTAATCAATTTCATCCCTCCGTCCATTCCATGGCTAACACCATCACTTTTAACCTTTAAAGCTTAACAGGTTGGCGTTTAACATATATTTTTCTATTATTCTTTTCTTCAATTTGGCTTTAATAGGATCCACCAATGCCACATTATATTCCATATTATTATCTTTTTACACGAATATTGTACCAACTTTTTTTTTATCAATTATTATCTATGTTTATTTATCTCTTTTTATTAACTTTTTAATTGAGTCAATCAAAGGGATATTTTTCAAAACTATAGTAGGTAATCAAGTAAATTTAATTCTTTTTTTTAAAAAAGGAAATAAATTAAAATTTTTGAATTTTATTAAGGTTCAAAAAGATTATAACTAGAAAAAGAAAAATTCCTAATGCCTATTACTATCCTTTTAATTGTAAGTTTTGGGTAGTTTAAGTGAGTTCATAATTTGTGATTGTATTTAGATACATAGGTGGGCTAAGCAAGTACATGGGTGAAGTATTTGATTATAGTTGTATTTAATTTGAAAATGAATAGATATAAAATTTTGGTACTTAGTATTTATTCAGGTATTAAAAATTTATCATCATCATTCAACTAGCTGAGTATTAGTATGCCCGTAGATGTGCTTATATATTTGTCAAATATTATAACCTTTTAATACAAATTAAAATATAACTAAACATATTGCAAAACATATACTATAATTTATACGCAACATATAAACATAAATTTTATTGAATGCAATAGTTTGATATGAGAAGTACGTCCTTAAAATAGTGTAGATAAGGATTACTCTCAAGATGCAAAAAAGTTGATTTGGAAAGGTTAAATACCTTTTTTGGTCCCTCTACTATAGGAAAAAGCCCCTTTTTGGTCCATGTACCGAAAAAATCCCCTTTTTAGTCCTTACTGTTCACAAATCCGGCCCCTTTTTGGTCCTTTCGTTAATTTTTGCTCACATGACACGTTAACTTAATTGAAAAAGCTGATTTGGATATGCCAACATGTAAAAGATGCTTACGTGGACTCCATGTAGACTCCACATCACCCTCCACATGGACTCCACGTCACCTTTTTTTTTTTTTTTT